TACTGTAGGGTAAAAAGAAACAAAGCTTTAATAAATCAGTAAGAACTCAAAAACACAAAACAGATTCTTCAAAGCTGGAAAAAGATAAACTCTTAAGATAAGGATCTTCTAAGAAATAGATGTCAAGAGAAGCAAGACAGAGAAGACTTAGAGACCATTTAGCCTAGTTTCAATTTCCAGAAAAAAAAACAGTTAGCTGGATACTCCTGTCTGTCTTAACCATCTAGAAAATAAGATGGTAAAAGCTAATAAATATGGACATGTCAAAAAAAAAACAATTAAGTCAAACTAACCTTTCTTTCTATGACAGCATACACTTTTTCAAAGGACCAATATATACCTTGACATTTGATATTTGCATTATCCTCTTAAAACTGCTACAGAAACATGGTCTAGTAACAGCAAACATTGGACACTTAATTTGTCTGTGTTCACATAACTACCAATATAAAAGGTCCAATTTTGTGGCATGCAGCAAGGATCTTTCCTCTGAACACAATGTATGCTTATGAAACCTGCACATAACACAAAGCTGCAAGCCTACTACAGGAAAGGATCAAAACTAGCAAGATCTTTGATAAACTGGAAAAGAGATCTGAATACACAAGATATAATTCAATTTGAATAAAAGCAAAGAACTACACTCCCATATATATAATTAACTACATAAAAATGAAAAGGGGAGTGACTCACTCAGCAGGAGCTGCTGCTACAGCAGATCACAAACTGCTCTGAAAAAGGCAGGAATAGATAAAGAGCAATAATTTGCAAGACACTTAAGGCAATCTTCTCATACTCCTTGACAACAATACACAAGGCAGACATTGTCCATTTTCAGTACTGTATTTTAAGAGAAATAAGGATGACTGAAGAGAACGTAAGGGGAGAGCAGCAAGACCAATAAGGATATAACATGTAATGGTGGACTGAAATAACTCAAATTACTGAATCGGGGGGGGGGGGGGGGGGGGGGGAAGAGCTGTTAAGCAATCTTGAAATACAGAGAACACTGAAAGAAAAGCAGAAAAACTCTTTGCCTTGTCCACTAAAGATCAGAATAAAAGCACTGGCAGGAGGATTAAGATAAGAGGACGATCAAGAAAAAAAGATTTTTCAACAGATTTCTTTGAGAAGTGTGGAATCACCTAGAGCTCTCCAGCAAACACATCAGACAAGCATTTGCCAGATATGTCTTAAAAATAGTCAATATTGTCTTGAAGCACAGGAATTGTTGAGTATTGCTCAGCATTTTTTTTCACCTGTACGAAGAAGCTGCCACTGGGACAAGACTGAAGCACAGTAAAAATCAATCTGCTAAGCATTGTTATGGTTAAACACCAAGTGTACACTTCGGGGTTTCAGCAAGGCAGTAAAAATTTACACTTGCCCAGCATGAAGACACAGTAATGGGTTCAAAACATTAAGGGTATTTGCCTCAACAGCACTAAATAGTTTAACTGATGTAAGCTTCAAATAGGTGGCAAAAGTTTATTATTTACATTCTTTGAAATCCTGGTAAAAGCCTGACAAGTAAGATTCATAGCTATCAGGTAACTGATGCAGCTGTTGCCTTCTACACAATGGAGCCCAGGGATGTACCTGAAGCAGACAATTTTCCACCACCAGAAAGAATGACTTACTGGCTACAAGGATAGCCACACTAATTCCGTTTTGCCCAATCATAGAAACAGTCTGGCTAAGCCTTACAGACAGTTCACAGAAATAGAGCTGTTCCACTAACCTAAAAAATTTTAAGAATTAAGGTGTACTTAAACCAAGCTAGGTGGTGAAAAACTCCCTAATTCCTCTCCCCCCAAAATTTAAAAGCTAATTCTGCTGAGACAGAACCAGTTCCAACAACAAACTCCTCTTTCCTGTGCCTGCTGTTTAACAAGTGAAACTATATTACTTCTGTCTGACACAGGTATATTAGGAAGCTGTGGGGAGTTCATTTTCAACTCCACAATTGTGAAAACTAAGTAAATTTCTCAAGAGATGCAGACTTTCCAGGTAGACTTAGAAGTGCTCCAAGAGTTTTGATCTCACCAACAGAATATACTGCAGAATCTGCATCTTACCACAGAACTCAGTGACTTGAAAATATGCATTAATTAAAGCAAAAAAAACCCTTCATCTGCTGCAAAACAGGAGGTGGAAGATTGAGTAGATACTGAAATAATCAACTTAAACAAAAATTCTGATAAAATACTTTATAATACTCTCCATTTTAGGCTTAGCTCACCCTTTTTTTTATACTTATTAGATCTTTTTAAATAGTTAACATTTGTCAGACTGATTACATGTGCTACAATGAGGTCTCAAAAACAACCAAAGAACCTCAAGTACTAAAGTGAGCCTCATTTCAGCGTTTTAGTTAATTAGCAAAGCAATACCCAAGTTTCTTAAGGCTAAAGAAGGTTGAGATAGACTCAAAACAGACTTAATAAAACTAAGTTCCTACTTAGACATGAGAAAGTGATTCACATCTCAACTGTGCCTATACAACAAGTGCTAGGCATTGCTCAGGCAGCTTAAGACAACAGGGAACACAGCAGCACAGAGCTTTTGCAATGTAGGAACAGAAAACTACACGTAAAATTGCACTGAAATATACTGCAACAGCACATTAGAAACCCCTTAAAAGATTCACAAAGAACTCGGTGAGACAGGAAAATATTATCAATCTGCACAAAACATAACAAGTTATGCAATTGCTTAGTACCTTTTATAAAGGAAAATAGAAACAGAAAACTGACAGGTAACTGATACTAATAAATCAGAAATTTACACACAGAAAAGAAAAATACAGCTGAGGGTTAAAACCACAAAATTTACAGCTCAGATTCAAAAAGCTCCTGTCATATCCCTGGAGGATGAGCACTCTGACAGTGTCGCTATAACTACTAGACTCTCATACTCCTTCCTAGACATCTTTGATACTGGCCCCAGTCAGAAAGGAGAATACTAAGCTAACAAAACCTTTCAACTGTAGCAGATCACCCGAGTAAGACAAAAAAAGCAGCAAGAATAAGACAAAAAATAATGAAATAAGGAAAAATAGAATCAATAGCTAGGCAACCAAGGTACTGGCTTAAATATTCCAGAAAACAGCAATGCTGCGCAGAAGACAATACGAGTAAGTCTGGCGTACACCTGTATACATTATTTATACACACTACACCCTTTATGTTAGCAAAAAATACAAGGAGCCAGCTGTATTCTGTCAAGCAACCAAATGCTGACAAGTGATAAAATGCTATGAAAACTAACCGAAAAACTGAGAGAAAACAAAGGAAAAGAAGATAACAGAACTAAACCTCTAGCCAAGTACAATACAGGTTAGAAGACAGAGTATGAAGTTGACCAGCTGAACACTGCAGTAATACAGTTTGGCTTCTTTCATCTACTGCATTCTCTCTCTGTTCCTCCTTCACTTACAGGAAAATGGGAAATTATGATCTCAACCCCAACAAACACAGGACTGATTTAACTGCAGATATTGATGATACCATTGCAATACCAAGTTAATCCATCCTCTCAGTAAAATAATTTCATTATAATTCACAAAAATAAAATTTGGGCTTTTCTTAACTATTTCTTCAGGGCAGATATTAGGACACAGCCATGCTTGCCTTAATGCTGCCCAGGACAACAGGCTGGACTTAAAAGAACATACTTAAAAAGGCAGATCCAGCTTTTTTTTTTATAAAATGACTTAAGACAGAGCAGCTCTGGGTAGCTGCCCATAACATGTTCTGTGATTTTTACTATTAAAGTAATGATTCAGTTTACATACTAAAAAAAAAGTAAATATATTTCATAGAATATTCATATTCCGTGGCAGTGGATGTTTTCTTAATCAGCACCACAAATGTTCTCCTACAGCAACATTTTACTTCTGCATATCCTTGTAGATAACACACACCTGAAATTTGTACATAAATGCAAGTGTTCCATGCAAATGTTTACATAGCCAAAGGGGGGGGGAAGCATGTTTTTCACCAAAACGATGACAGTTTAACTTATACTTGGACTCTTCATAACTGACTAAAAAGTAAAGACTAAAACAGTTTAAAAGTGTTCCATACAACATCTAAATTCACAAACAGGGAGTTAAACAGGCAATTATGAGCTAAAGTTGATATAACAGGATTGAATTTCTTCATAAATTGTTTCAGAGTATCTGTATGGGCTTTACATAATACACTCATCACCTAGGTGGCAATCTAAGAAACTTAGAAACTTTTTTTTACCCCCTGAACTTAAAAAAACCTCAAATATAAATCATTTATATGCAGCGGTAATATATCTTCTACAGCAAGTTAATAAATAGCAGAGGTGATGTTTAATCAGTAGCTGTTGTTAAGAGAGTATACAGTCATTTCTTTCTGGAAAATTTACAAAAAAAAAAAGATTCAAAAGCTGCCTGCCATTTTGCCACAACTTAAGAGCTTTCAAGAGAATACAACTAACTGTGGGGTAATGTGATGGGGTAAGGATGAAATTAGTAGCTACATTAACCACCAGCAAGTACTCCTTTAAAGATAAATTTAGAAGCCTCAAACTACAAATGCAAATAATTAACTGTGCCCTAACACGGGTTTTATGTACAACATTCTTCTGATGTATTAAAGCATTTCAGTTTTATGAAGAACTTCATACAGATTAACTACAGTTCAGATGCCCAGATAGCCACAGCTGAATCATCTTAACCCTCCAAAATTCATGGTTAAGCTTTAGCTACAGAAACAAATCCAAAGAAACCTACACACACATGCATGCAAACATTTCCCCTCCCCCATAAAATCCAACTTTGTCTCAGTTAATAGGCTCCTTATCTTTAACACTGCAGAACTTATTACTTAAAGAATTCTCTTGTTTCTAGTCTTCTGCATCATCCACACAGCACAGCTAACAGTAACTGTATTCTAAAAAAAGCCCATTCACAGTTGTTTGAAACCATTATATGACTTTAGAAAGTAAAATGTATAACCTCTTACCTGAGCATGAAAATTTGACATAGTCGTTGTCTCTATATCTTTCTTTCCCAAAATCTCCATTTTCACTGGTGAATTGGGAAAATTAAACGAAAAGTAGTCTAAAAAGTCAGGTAAATAAGTAGCTGCCCCATGAACAATACCCATTACATAGTAAGCTGCACAGTTTTCATTTTCACTAAAAACCAGACCCACAAACTCTTCTGCAAATCTCTCCATCTCCACAGGAGATAAGTGGGAGAGTTCATTACTGTAGGCATGGATAACTGATGCACCTCCATTAGGCTGGTGCTCAATATGAATCAGCTGTTTGAACTCCAATGTGTCCAACCTTTTGAGTTTATTTTGAACCCGTGGCTCCTTTAACGAGACAAATGGAAACTCACTGTTCTCTGGTATCTTGGACTCACAGTCCTTCTTGGGATCCATATTTTTCCCATTGAAATCCTTAAGATGATCATCTATGATGCCTTTGGCTTCCTGATCCTCAATATCGGAAACCAATCCTGAGCAGATGGTCTGAATGGATTTGCTGTACATTTTTGGACGCTTCCTCTTCTCATTCTCTTTATGTTTCTTTTTCTTTTTCTTCTTAACTTTTTTAATCTGTAGCTCTTCTGCATTGGTTTTTGGTTTCTCCTTCCCACCTGTTGAGAGAAAAAAATCATCTCTTAAGTATCTTCATACACAAAATATGTACTTAAAGATCAGAATTCAAAGTTACCAAAGCCCTCATCATGGCACACAAAGACCAGAGACCAATACCAATGGTCACAATGTGTATCTTACTGAAAAATGAGTAGTAAGAGACACCTGCCATGTTGCCATTATGACTGACAAAAGCTGGGGTTGGGGCATAGAGGAAATCACGATAAAAACCAAGTTTCCCAAGGCTGCTTTCACGATGAGTCACAAACCTTAATCATAGCATTTAACTGGTCATCAGCAATTATTATACCAGAAAGTTCAGAGACATTATATGACAGCTGTGAACAAACATTGCCAAACAAGGGATTTACAAATGGTCAATGAGTATCAACCATCATCAGCAAGCTGTTCACAAGAAGCCACTGCCAGAACCTACCTTGTCAGATGGCTTTACATGGTCATTCTTCCAGAACTAAATAAACTTTGTCAAAATACATGTGGAAACATCTAAAAACTGACCCCACACTTCTTTAAAAAAAAAAAAAAATCATTTAAACAAAACAAACAAAAAGCAAACAAAAAAATCCAAACAATCACCAAAAACCAAGACCTCACAAAACAGAAACTAGCTTCAAGTTTATGTAACATGCAAGCTGAACTGAAAACAAACTGTAATGGCCTAAAGCCAAAAAGTACTCATTTGGGGATAACATGTTCAACTGATTCCCAAGGCAAACATTCTCCCTTGTTTTAGAGTGTTTTTCCTTGAGTGCTTTTGGGGTTTTTTCGCAAGTAATAAACACAGTAGCCAAAAAAACTCCTGTCACTACACTGCCCTCAAATCTAGCAGTTGAAATCACTTCACGAGTTGATAAATTACTGGGCATGTTACAGCACAAAATTATATTCACAAGAAATTCAGGATCAGCAGGTTCAGACACAGAAATTTAGAAGTTCAGTCCTGCAATGAAATACACACTTTCTAAGTAAACTCAAATTCACAAGAGTTAAGTTAGCCAGTCTCTACTACTGTGCTGTAGTATATTCTCAGCTCACAATCCACAGCCCAAGTAATTCACAAGAGTCCTTAAGAAAAAAAAAGGAAGAAAATGAAAATAAAGATCACAACTGCTGGTGTGTGGAATCACACATTCTTGCTGATAATTAAGAGGTTTGGATATGGAAGGTGCACATACTGGAAAGGAGAACAAGCAATTAAGACACTTGCCTCTAAGCCTCTTGAGGTTTGTGACAGCAGCTGGGGATTTCTGAAGTGGAGGCAGGCGAGCTAGTTATCTCTCTAGCTTCTATTTTCTTGTCTTGTAGGGGGGAAGAAGTACCCTGAGGTTACTCATTTCTTACTTAGCCCAAACAAGGAAGTGGGCTCTAGGATTTCTTAACCTAATCCACACAGTTAAGAGCTACAAAGACCCCCTTCACTCTAAATCAGATTTAACATAGCATACTCTATGAGCACAATTTCACTTTTAGCTAACCAAATTCAGCTGCCAAAAGGCACAATATCCTCATGAAAATCCATCTTTTCATTAGGCTAAGTTTAATGTAAAACCAGCATGGGCCTCTTCAACAGGACTGCTTCATCTGGTAGACAGAATACTCACCACTTCTTTAACATCTTCATTCTCCCACAAGAGTCTTTAAATCTAGTGGGCAGGGAAAGACCAGAAAAAACAGCAGCACTATGTGTACAGCCAATTACCTCAACTTTAGAGGAGTCCTGAAAATAGTTCATTGAGGGTGCCAGGATACTAGAGTGAAATGTCATCACCTGACAAAAATCACCTACTGCTCACATTCTGGGGTATTGCAATAGTGTCATTACAGCACCAGTTCCATTAGGGGGGAAATAAAAACAAAGAAATGGTTTTATGACAGTGGGAAGTTCCACATAGCAGGCTTAGGAATCTCAATCCAAACTTCAAAATACAGACTACAGAACAGACACCCCCCCCCCCCCCTCCCACCTGCAGGAACACACAACTAGAAAGCATCCAAGAACCTACAAGTATTTCAAACTCTTAAAAATGCTTTAACTTAACAATTAAAAATTGTTCCACTCTAAACATGAAGACTTGTTGCTATACTGATCAAACATTTCCAGATATTGTATTAGTTTGAATATGGAAAATATGGAATTATAGCACAGAATGCCACAGCAAGGTGAGGTGGGGAAGCAGGGGTTACCTGTCAACTCACTTTTTCTCAAATGGAGCTCAGATTTTTGTAGGGACTAGGCACTCAGATCTGGGACTTCATCCACGGCAGGGAAAGGATGGAAATTTATATTCATTGCGGTACAATCAACAATAATATAAATGGCAACAAATACAACAACTTCTAAGTTTAAAGCAAGAAGCTGTTTGCTATAGCAAGAGCCAAACTGCTCTCATACTTCAGCATCTCTATAATCACCAAAGAAAACCTTAAGACAACTGTAGATCAGCATCTACATGTCCTTGCTGAACATCCAGCTATTAAATTACATTCCATTATTACCAGTTAAAATGTAAAAGTACTTACATAAAAGAAGGGTATGAATCTGTATCTGTGCAAAACTACCTCAAAAATTGTTGACTTGTGTTTCTACAGTACAAGAAGGAAGATTATCCGATTTCTCCTTTCAATCTGTCTCATTCCCTGCCTTTGATTATATCTTCCTAAAAGTTTTACTAACAATCAATTTAATTCAACCTCTCCTGTAATATGTGGTGGCTGGTTTTTTAATCCATCACTTAAAGTATTTCACAGATGCAGCTATGCAAAAAAAAAAAAAACCCACCCACCCCCCACACCACCAGTTTTAAGATTACAAAACTGCTAAACTACAGAACAGGCTTCCTAGAGAGGTGGTCGATGCCCCAAGCCTGTCAGTGTTTTAAGAGGCATTTGGAAAATGTCCTTAACAACATGCTTTAACTTTTAGTCACCCCTGAAGTGGTCAGGCAGTTGGACTAGATGATCGTTGTTGGTCCCTTCCAACTGAAATAGTCTAGTCTATTCTAATCATCAGTAAACAGCACTCAAAAGAGCAAAGCCATGGTCTCAAAAGCAGTGGTGTTTTTAAGACAGAAACAACAAAAAAAATCCCCAATGTAACATACAGAATTGAAATCAGATAGATGGAATGTAAATCAGTGTCAAATTATGTGAAGTTCACATAAACATATTAAAAGAGGTTTGCACTCAAAACTGATTGTAAAAATATGTTTTAGTTAAGTTGTTATACACCTATGTAAGTACTCAAAACCTTCTTAAGAGGGGTCACACTACGACATTTTAAAAGTGAAGAACATTTATCTTTCTCTGTGTTTGTTTTCACACTGTCTCCATGAAACCTTCAGAAAGGGAAAAAAGCTCTTAACCACAGGATAAAAAAAATTCTTTTTCTGGTATCCAACACAGTCATCCTTCTAGCCAAAAGAAATTTTCTGTTCAGCTTTAAATACAAATATTTTAGTAACATAGACTCTTTTTACCTTTGATGACAGACTAAGAGTGTTATGCCATTTACACATGCATCAACTATTAAAGTGCATCACTACACACTTTCCCAAATCATGAGAAGTTGCAAAAGTGGTACGCACAATTTGGAACCAAATGAATATTTGCTAGCAGCCTTTCATCTCTGAACACAACTCTCTTCTCTTCCACAAAACTTTTTGGATCTCTATATAACAAAAAGGATAGAGCTGAGGCCATTTTTAATTCTGAAACACCAGGAAATCAAGAGAGCAACAATCACTGAAAGAACAAAAGGCTGTAGAACAAAAAATGACCAGAAGATCTACGGTGGGAAGTAGCAGAGACCCCTGAAGTCCTACTTGCAACTGGGAAAACAGAAAAATCAAGATTGGGAGTGTCTATCCTTGGGAGACAAAATATGAATCCCTTCAAGGGTCTGAGCTACTGATGCCACTAGAGAGGAAAAAAGCCTTAAAACACAGAAATCAGAAGAAAGGGGATTCCAAATGGGATCTTTTCAAAACATTACTAAAGACTTAAAAAAAATTTACATACCAACAAGAGTAAAACTTAGTTCTCTAAAAGCAATTCAAGCAGAAATTGAAAGACAACATGACTTCAAAAGCTGATTAGTTGTTTTGAGCCTTTTTCAAATTCACACAAGCTTATGCTACTGCATACACAAAACAAATTCTGTCAAGAACTCTACTTCAGTTTCATACTGGCAGCAAATGACGTACTTAGGAAAAGTTATTTTTAAATACTTCAGACACCATATTTTGTAGGGAATTTATATTTTTATTTTAATTTTATATTTATATTCTAATATTAAATTGAATATAAAAAACTAGAAATGAAATTAAATAGAATTCTTAGAATTTTAAATTAATAATTATTTGTTCAGCCTTCAAATGCGGATACATGATATAGCTGAGCAATCTAAGTGCTCATTGCCACAGATGGGTAGAGTCCAACTCCCCACTCTGCCACTGCTCCTAGCACGCAGTCCTATACCATTCCTGGTACTGACTGATGCTCGTCTGACTGCACAGTAAATTGACTTAACTTAATGGCTTCGCAGAAAACTATTCACTTTGCTGCTAGATTAGTGAACAGAATTGGTTCACGGCATTGTCAGACAGGAACTAGAGCATGGAGACCACCGATAGCAGGCAATGAAGAGTAGCAGAACCCACCCCTCATCAGTGGCAGCAGACCACTTGATCTGCTTGGCTACGCTGCCCACCACACCTTCACCTCTCCACCCCAAGCACTGAACAAGGCTGAACTTTTAAGGATAAAAAAAATTCCCCTGCCACACAAAACACTACCTTAACACATATATGAGATAAGACCAAGTTCCTAGCAAACCTTAATACAAAGCTTCCCAACCCAAAACCTTGGACTTTAAATTTAATGTTAAAGTTAGATAATTTACCTTTTTAAAGGTAACATTCTAGTACATTTAACTGCAATATGGATCAGACTACAATTTCTTCCCTGTCCTTTATTAGAG